TCCAGCCACCCCCCCCCCCCCATGAAGCTTACGAGGGAGTCGGCAGGAGTTGAGCCAGGAGAGGTGGCTCTGCAAAAGAATGGCCGGGTTCAAGGTCTGACTCGCTCGCCTCAGCAAGCATCTTAGCTTCTTTAAGACTCAGTGGTCTCACCTGTAAAATGGGAATTAGGCTCGGAGAGGTGTTGGGAAGGTGAACAGTCGTCAGGTGTGGCAAACGGCGAGCCGCCAGCCAATCAAGGCTGCTGGCGTGTTCCGTTTGGCCACACTGTTTTGGAAGAAGTGCGCTCTCCCGGGGCCTCTGAGGCATCTTGTACAGAGAGGCACGTTGGGCGGCGGGGTCCAGCTGACTGCAGGCCCCTCTCCCGCAGCGCCCTACACCATCATCACCTTCCCCTTCCTCTTCGCTGTCATGTTTGGGGACGTGGGCCACGGGCTGCTCATGTTCCTCTTCGCCCTGGCCATGGTGTTGGCTGAGGACCGGCCGGCCGTGAAGTCGGCGAAGAATGAGGTGAGGGCGCGTGGGGGGCCTGGTGGGCCGCGGGCAGCGTGGCCGGACCCCACCTCATGGCCTCCACCCGCAGATCTGGCGGACCTTCTTCAGCGGCCGCTACCTGCTGCTGCTCATGGGCCTGTTCTCCATCTACACCGGCTTCGTCTACAACGAGTGCTTCAGCCGCGCCACCGTCATCTTCCCCTCGGGCTGGAGCGTGGCTGCCATGGCCAACCAGTCCGGCTGGAGGTGAGGCCTGCCTGCCCCTGCCCCCGGGTCCCTCCACCCTGTCCCCACTGCCCTGACCGCCCTGCCCACTGTTGCCACAGCGACACATTTCTGGCCGAGCACCCGCTGCTCGCCTTGGACCCCAACGTTACTGGCGTCTTCCTGGGACCTTACCCCTTCGGCATCGACCCCGTGAGTCCTGGTTGCTGGCCCGGGTGCTGCAGGCAAAGCGGGAGGGAGGCTGGTGCCAGTGCCGGAGGCTGGGCCCTGACCGAGGAGGGGCCCCCTTGCCGGTCCCCCCCTGCAGCGCCGCACGGAGCAGGGAGGCGTGCTGTGGCGGCGCCCCCTGTGCCAGGCGTGGCTCTGAGACCTTTGTGTGCGATGGCCTTCCCTGTCACTCACGTGACAGCTTCCAGAGCATCGTTCCCTTCTGACGGGGGTGGGGGGGGTTTGTGCCCAAGGGGACCCAGGCAGGAAGAGCTGGGGTTGTCTGGCCCGTCTGTGCCTCACTAGCTCCCCCTGTGGCCTCTCAGGGGTGGGGTGGAGGGGCAGATGGCAGATCCTGCTGGGGCCCAAAGGGGACAAACAGGCTGATGAGAATGACGAGGGCGTGGAGGCCCCTGCTTGACACTGGTCCCCCGCCCCCCCCCCCCCCCCCGTCACCCCAGATCTGGAGCCTGGCTGTCAACCACCTGAGCTTCCTCAACTCCTTCAAGATGAAGATGTCCGTCATCCTGGGGGTCACCCACATGGCCTTTGGGGTGGTCCTGGGAGTCTTCAACCACGTGTGAGGGCCCGGGCTCTGGTAGGGGCAGGGGCCGCAGGGCCAGTGTGTCCCGCTGACCCAGCCCTTCTGCCCCAGGCACTTCGGCCAGTGGCACCGGCTGCTGCTGGAGACCCTGCCAGAGCTGGTCTTCCTCCTGGGCCTGTTCGGCTACCTGGTCTTCCTTGTCTGCTACAAGTGGCTGCGCGTCTCGGCCGCCGGCGCCACCTCCGCCCCCAGCATCCTCATCCACTTCATCAACATGTTCCTCTTCTCCCGCAGCCCCACCAACCGGCCGCTCTTCCCGGGGCAGGTGGGCCAGGGCGGGCGGGAAGGGCACTCCCTGCAGGGGCCCCTGGTCACTGGGCTGCTCAGAGCTGCCAGATGCTCAGCTGAGAGACAGGGATGCAGGCCCGAGGCCGAGAGACACAGAGGTCTGGGGGCTGGACACCAAGAGGCTCCCAGCTGGGTGGCTCGCAATGGCTCCCGGAATCCCGTGGCCCCTTCTCTCTGAGGACTGCAGTCGCAACACTGCTGGGCTCCCGGGCACCCGCCCCCCACCAGTCAGGCTAGGTGTGCGGCCTGCAGGGGCTCCCTGACTCGGGCCCCCGCCCCTGCAGGAGGCGGTGCAGTCCGCACTGGTGGTCCTGGCCCTGGCCACGGTGCCCGTCCTGCTGCTCGGCACCCCTCTGTTCCTCCACTGGAAGCACCGGCGTCACTTGAAGAGGAGGCAGGCTGGCCAGCTGCAGGTAGAGGCAGCGCCGTTGCCAGCCCCAGACGCCCCTGGCTTGTTCCACGCTCCCTGAGTGGCAGTGTGCAGGCAGCGAGGGGCCACACGGGCCGTCGCTGGCGGGGCTGCTGATGCTGCCTGCTCCCCGTTCCTAGGACGAGGTCAAGACGGGGCTTCTGGACTCGACGGACGGGTCTGTGGCTGGCTGGGGCTCTGATGAGGAGAAGGCCGGGTGCTCAGAGAACCAAGAAGAGGCCGAGGTGGGCGTGGTGCCTCCCCGGGGGCGGGCAGTGGCTGGCGTGGCTCGCCCCTCACTGCCGCCCACCCCTCCCTAGTTTGTCCTCTCTGAGGTGCTCATGCACCAGGCCATCCACACCATCGAGTTCTGCCTGGGCTGCATCTCCAACACGGCCTCCTACCTGCGCCTCTGGGCCCTGAGCCTGGCCCATGCCCGTGAGTGACCTGCGTGGTGGGTGGCCCGCCAGCCAGGTCCTGGCTCCATCTCACACATACACACACACAGCTGCTGGCTGGGCAGCCTGGGCGGGCCATTTCTCCGGGCCTCAGGGTCCCTCTCTGTGACGTGGGGACCTCAGAAGAGGTTTCGGGCCCTGAGGGGACTGCGTGGGAGGCCCTGGCCCCCGGTCTCCACTGCTCCCCCTTCGCCCACAGAGCTGTCGGAGGTGCTGTGGGCCATGGTGATGCGTGTGGGCCTGGGCCTGGGCCGAGAGATGGGCGTGGTGGCCGTGGCGCTGGTCCCCATCTTCGCCGCCTTTGCCGTGATGACCGTGGCCATCCTGCTGGTGATGGAGGGGCTCTCGGCTTTCCTGCATGCGCTGCGTCTGCATTGGTGAGTGGCCGTGCGGTGGCAGCCAGCAGAGGGGGCAGGGGGCAGGGCCTATCCCTCACCGGCTCCCCCTTCTCGCCCCAGGGTGGAATTCCAGAACAAGTTCTACTCTGGCACTGGCTACAAGCTGAACCCCTTCACCTTCACCATGGAGGAGGAGTAGCCCCTGCCAGTGGCCACGCCCATGCCTCAGTTCTGCTGCCTGCGTGAGGCGGGAGGGGAATAAAGAGCAGAAGGCCCAGGACTGTGTCTGGGTCCTGTCTGGAAGGCAGGGGTGGGGGAGGCTGGTGCGGTGGTGCCCGCGCTGGCGTGGCAGGTCCCTGGGCTGTGGGTGAGGGCAGCCTCGGTGCCTGTCCCTCACAGCCTCCTCTGCAGCTGAGCGGGGTGACAGACACCGGTCCAGGATCTGGAGGCTCGAACAGTCGAGGAGAGAGGGCCCATGGGCACATCTGTGACAGTCCCAGACTCTCCGGGGGCAGGACCAGGGAGGGGTGTCCCCGGCACATTCCAGCTCGGGGCGTCTTCCCAGGTGGGGCCCCGGAAGGCAGCGTCTGCCCCTGCAGTGTGCAAACTGGCTGAAGATGCTCCAGATGCCCGGGGGTGGGGGGGCGGGGAGGGTGGTGCCTGGCGCCAACTGGCAATGGTCCCATCCCTCACCCTGGTGTTGGCCCGGGCACGCGACGCTCTGGCGCAGGGTGAGCAGGGGTGTCGTCTGTACACCAGGGGCCACCATCCGGCAGAGAGGGCAGAGGCTGGTTGCAGGCAGCTGCAAGAGTCAGGAAGAGGGCTGAGCCGGACTCCAGGCCCGGCCTTCTCGTGGCAGGAGGCCGAGGCCTCTGCTCCCCCACTGGGCGTGCAGTCAGCTGCCCTGAGGCTGCCCTGCCTCTGCCGGGGTTGGGGGTGGTGTCCCGGAGTTTTCTGGCCTGGGTCCCACCACTGGCTGGGAGGCAGAGCCAATGCTGTTCGAAGCCGGGCTTCCTCCAGAGGGAAACCCCCAGAACAGCGGCCTCTCTGAGGCTCGATGCCCTGGGCACAGCGAGCCAGGGGGCCCGGCCCCATCGCTGTGGCTGTGAGGGGAGGCTGTCTGTCCCTCGGGACCCCCAGATGCCAGGCGACCCCACGTGCTCAGCAGACTCGGCCAGAGAAACATCAGTGCCTGGCGAGGAACCAAGGAGGCTGGTGCATGGACCCTGGGGGCTGTGGGAAACCTGGGCTCAACCCGGACCCGGAACCTCACCCCTTCCTGGGGAGCAGAGCTTCAGAGTTGGGTGGTGACAGATGGACTGGGAGCAGCCCGTGGTGTTTTGTGAGGAGGCAGGTGTGGTTGCAGGGAGGTGCTGGCTGGCCCTGCCTTGGCCGACACGTGCCTGGTGAGCGCCGTGGCAGGAGCCCAGGTGCAATGGGACACGCGAAGGCTCTGCAGTGAGTGTGGCAGGGGTCGGGAGTGTGGAGGTCACCTGCACTGAGGACAGGCCTAATCGCTGCTCACTCTAACACAGGAGAGAACTGAGAGAACAGATCAGAATTTCAGGAAAAGCCATGCACGTGGAATGACAGCGCTGGGCCAGGGAGGGTGTGTGGGGGGGTGGACGGGGAGCCCATCACCGCAGGCCGGGCCCCAGCGCACCCCGGTTGGGGAGACGGCGAGCGGCCTGGTGTCTTGAAGAGGAAGGCTGGGCAAGGGCAAGGCAGCCGGGGACGGCCGCCCAGCCCTGCGGGCACAGGGAGAGCTCGGCAGCTTTATTCAAAGCAAGTTCTCACGCAGGAGTTCAGCATCATTTACTGCTCAGTGTTACTGCTGAGGCATCAACACACACGCTGAGTGGAATGTTAAATGTCCACGGGAGACCTCTGGGCTGCCTCCCCCGTCAGGCCCAGGCCCCGCCGCCCCACCACCGCACACCACGGCCTTGGCCGGTGTGACTCAGAACACAGCCACAGGGACAGCTGAAGACAGTTTTTATTTTTCCACTGATCGTACAGTGCAGTGTCTGCAGTGGCAGAAACATATGCAGAGAACAATTCAAATAAAGATTTCGGGTTTTCTAAAAAAGGCATTTATCCCAAAGGGCAGTTAACATTAACATATATGAATTTCACAGCTACACTCTGTCCACACCCCCACAGGTCACAGGCCGCTGGTTCCCACCGGGGTGATGTCGGGGGTACCAGGAAGTGGTGAGGGCAGGGACAACTGGCCACGGTTTCCAGCCCCCTGCCTGGCCCACCAAGGTGCCAGGGACCCGGGGGCAGCCAGCCCCGTCACGCAACTGCCAGCTCCAGGCTGGACAGAGTCGTGGAGGAGACAGGGCTGCCGAGCAGGAGAGAGAACCCCTCCTCTGCTCAGGGAAGGCAGATGGGGGGCGGGGGCAGCTGTCTGCGCACCCCCATGCTGCCCCTGACCCAGCCGCTGGCTAAGGCCACGGTTAATAAAGCACATTCAGTGGGGAGGAGGGCGTGACAGAGAGGGAGGGGCCCAGGTGTGCAGGCGCACACCAGGCCCCAGGGTCTTCGTTCACAGCGTGGAGACGGCAGCTTGCACCTGTCATGGGCGGTCTGTGGTCTCGAGTGTCAGCCATTTGGACCAGAGGGGGAAGGAGCAGCTTCCACAGACTGGGGGGGCAGGCCACCGGTGACATCACAACCCATCCTGTCCCCCACCACCCCTGGGCAGTGTCTGCACACATTGCTTCCTACAGAGCCGGCTCGGCGCCCACCGCAGGCCCGCTTGAGTCCTGTAAAAACCAACGTTGACCAGAAGCACCGCGCCCGCACGCCAGCCTGCAGGGAGCGGAGCTACCGCACTACTGCCCTATTGCACTGTTTCTGCTGCCGAGCTCGCGTCGGAGGCCTAGTGAAATTGTAGAAGGAGATATGAAATAAATGTTACTCGATTTTAATGCAGTCTTTCGTATCATACACATCTGTGCGGCAGCGAGGCATCCAGGCTCCTTGCCGCGGCAACAGTGGTGGCAGCTCAGGCCTGTTGGCCTGGCCGCCCGCGCAGCCCAGGAACGGAGTGTAGGAAGTCCTTCCGGCCGTCACACCCCCAGCTTCCTCTTCTGGTCGAAATAGGCATCAAATCGCGCTTGGGCGTACTCCTGGGGGCACAAGGAACCGCTCTCACCCAGCGTGGTTGCCATGGCCAGCCCGGCCCCACCCATGCAGGGCTTTGTCCACGCACCTGCAGCTGCCCGGCCGCCCCGTCTCACTTCCCAAGCTCCCCCGGCACTGATGGGTGGACCTCAGCAAAGGGTCCTCTTCCACAGGGCCCGTCAGACAAGTCTGCTTTGTCTCACGGTGTCATTTGACCATAACCCCACGTTTGCTTTACAGACCCAAATCTCCCCTTTTCTGTTTGCCTCACAGCCCCTGTGTGTTCCCACACCTCTACCTAGAGGCAGGAGTCATCCCCGAACAGGAGCGAGGACGCAAAACCAGTCATTTCCCACCACCTGTCCCAAAGCAAGGGGCCAGCCTCTGTGCACCCGCCCCCCGCCCCAGGACACCCCAGCACACTTGTGCGGCAGCAGAGCAGTGTCAGGGACAAGGACTGTTCTTAAGGCTGGAATACAAGGACAGCCCGGCCTGGCAGACTGCCTGCGGGGAAGGTGTCTAACTCCACCAGCACCAGCTCCCACCTCTGAGCTGGGCGCTGGCGGCCAGAGCTGGGACGGGGAGCAGGTGCACCCACCCCCCCGCACGCCCCCCTGGGCGCCCGTGCCGGCGGAGCCCGGGTGGGGCTGGACCTCTCACCTCTGTGCCTCCACAGCCCCCCTCAGGAACACAGACCCACAGCCCTGTGCAGACGCAGGGGAGGCGGCCTGCTGGTCCTGGGAGGGTGACTGGCCGGCATAGGCAGACATGGGTCAGCCCGAGTGCCTTCAATGCTGTGGCCCTTCTCCCGCAGCTCCTGGTCCCCTGGTTCCGTTGTCACCGGGAACCGGCTACCCTGTCTGAGGAACCCCCTTTCACCACCGAGCACCCACATACACTGCAGCCCTTCCCCCAGAGAAGAAAGCGAAACCACACCCCAGACACGTACCATGTATCCAAATTCAATGGATGAAATCTTGGCCTGTACAATGGACCAAAGTCCCCAGAAGAAATGGGACGCAAGGGCAAACCTGTAATTACAGAAGCAGGGGACCATGTGAATACCTGGGTGGCACCCACCAGAGGACCAGAGGTCACTCCTGCTGGACGGACACTCTGCCTCATTCAGACTCATCTGGACGCCGAGTGCCCTCCTGGGCAGACTCCGAGGGGCCGTGGCCCACAGTGGGGAAGCGCCGCCGCCGTTCCCACCCCGCCTCTGGCGGGGCAGACAGACCCCACTGCCTGTCCCTGGTGCACAGAACTGCAATCATGGGCTCACGTGAGGCCACAGTGGCTGAGCCAGGGAAGCCTGGGCTACACGGGGACCCCTCCCCCTGCGAGGGAGGGCGCAGCACCAGCACCTGCCACGCTCACTGGCCTCCGGCGGAGGAGGGAGGAGGCGTGGGCCTCCAGCAGGAGCTGCCCGTCCCGAGGCAGGGGGCTACCCCTCCTCCACTCCTCAGGGCCACAAACCAGGCAAGGGACAGGGTGGGCCAGTCACCCTCTAGGCTGCGCCACGCTCACGCCACCACATTCACCGAACTCATGCCTCTGGGCTTCTGGCAACTGAGGAAAAGCTCTGGTCCTGGATGAGCACGCCAGCCGTCTGCTCATGACCACTGCCGCCCCCACCTGCCTTCCGGTCTCTCCCGGTGGACACTGCAGGCGGAGCCTGGGGCCGCACACTTGGGAGCAGTGTGGATGTGTCTGAAGACCACCAAGAGCCCTGACTGGTGTGGCTCAGGGAGTTGGCGGAAGACCCGGCAACCAGTACAGTCCCCAGTCAGGGCACGTGCCTGGGCGGCAGGGTTCGCACTCTGGTCGGGACGCCCACAGAGGCAGCCAATCACTGTTGCTCGCACACGTGGATGCTTCTCTCCCCTCCCCACTCCGGTCCCCTCTCTCTAGGTCATGAAGAGGGTGCTCCACGAACTGGTGCAGACAGAGCAAGGTGGGCCGAAGTTCCACCAGAGAGTCTCCTAGGAGACCCCAAAGACTCTCAGTAACTCAGGCCCAGCCCTTTGTGGGGTCTGAAAGCCTCCAAGCACCAGCTTTCGAAGATGGTGAAGGACGCTAAGATGCCAACAGATAAATCTCCCAGTGTTTTCTAGGAGACTCTTGTCAGATAGTGCCTGCCGGGCCATGGACATCGGAGGCCAGGCTGCTGGTCTGGGCAGCAGCCATGCGGCGAGCCTCACCCAGGGGTGCAGGGCGGACCCCACGTGAGGTTGCTGCCTCCGTGTGCAGACCCCGCTCTCCCCACCTGCCGACACCAGGACGCGCTCAGCTGCAGGGACGCGCCAAGGTCGTCTGGACAGAGCACAGGTCCTGGGCACAGCCACCAAGCGCTCCTGGACTACTGGGCGGCCAGGAGGCGTCCCCGCTGTGCCCCACACAGAGCAGGGGTACCAAGCCATTGCTGCCAGGGTCACCAAGCTGCCTTCAAAGGGCAGACATAACTTAAGGGCTGTACCAATGCAACGACTCCGCAAGAGCTGAGTGAGAGCTTGGTGCCGCCGCCGGGTAGAAACGAGGCGCCGGGCAGGACAAACTAGGTGGAGGGCCGGATGCGGGCGGCGGGCCTTGGGGATGCCACCTGTGGCAGAGGTCAGCAAAGGAGAAGCGTTACCTGTTGACTTCAACGAGCATTTCTTCTTCCATAACGGCCTTTTCTTCATGACTGAGGTTTCCAGATTCATTTGGGAATGCGGCCAAGTAACTGGAAATAAAATGGAGCTAAGAAAAAAAAAAGTGAGGGTTAGCGACAGACGCCGTGAAAAGCCACCGTGAAACACACGCATCTAGGTCAGGCTGAGGGTCCCCCACACACAGTGGGCCTGGGGGCTACCTCATCTGGAGCGGTCACCAGGGGCATCAGAGTTCTGACGGCTCCAGGCCACAGAGTCGACAAGGCAGGTGTAGGAACCTAAGGCCACTTCTGGAGAAAGTAATTTAGCTAGAATGGCCACCCCCAGTGCAGCCAGGTACCAGGCTCTAGGGCAGTGGTGTCCAATCTTTTGGCGTCTCTGCGACGCACTAGGAGAGTTGTCTTGGGCCATGCAGTGAACACACTGTGACCGTCATCACACAAGAAACATCACGTGTTGGTTTACAGCTTCATGCCGAGCTGCACTCCGAGCCACCCCGAGCGGCATGCAGCCTGCGGGCCGGACGCCCCTGCAGGGCCTCCTGACGCCCCTCAGAGTGGAGCCCCCAAGCAAGGTGCCGTGGTTTTTACCCACTTATACTCAGGAGGTGGCAACACCTGATTCTGGTTTAGAGACAAGACAGTTTACCTAGGGTCTGTCCCAAGTTCCACATGTTTAGTCCACATGCAAATTAGAGGGCAGGAAGCCCCTGGTTCTTGAGTGTTTCACACTCCATCAAAAGGCAAACCACCAATGCCTTCTTCTGTAAACAAGAGAATGCCTGTCGGTCACCCTTCCCTCGTTAACCAGTTACCTGGCTGGAATGCCCCGCCCTTCTGCCCCCCCCCCGTTCCCTGTGTGGCCTCTGCCACCTTCCTCCTCTCAAGTCAGCTCTCACACGTCATGCCCAGAAAGTGCCACTCAGGCCTGAGCGCCACTGCAGGCAGGCCACCGCACAGGAGGTGCGTGCCGGTGCCCGCTAGATCGAGGAACAGCACTGCCTGGAGCTCGTTCCTGCACATAGCTCACTCTCCACAACAGAAGAGTTTTTATAGGTGAGGACACAGGGTGCAGAAACATCCGGGGAGTTACAGCCAGCAGCGGCAGCTCTGGGGCTCGAATCCAGGCAGATTCGTTTTTAAAGCCCAGGCCCAAGCCACCGCGTGGGCAGGGCTCACTTCTGGGACACACTGAACACCGAACCTGACAAATGAAGACGGAAAACTTGAGTTCAACTGATCGACACCCTCACGGAACAGAAATCACCTTCCCTCCAGAAAAGTTCGAGGCTCAGAATGCATGACCAGCAAGGTCTCCCCACAATCTTGCCAGGAACAGAGAGATACCTGTCACCTCATATAACTGTGTCCCAGAAAACACAAATGGAGATTCAGCTCGCTTTAAAGGACTAGTATAATTCTGAGTCCAAGATCAGGTGACATCATGTAAAAGAGAGCGCGAAGGGCCCAGGCGCAAAGGGCAGAGGAAGCCCTAAAACGGGGCGCCACCGTGGAAACTCCAGGCGGGCTCAAGTCTGGAAAGAGCTCGCCGGCAGGGTGAAGAGTGAGGAGCACGAGCAGTCCGCTCTGCATCTCCGAGGTGACCTGATGCAGGTCGGGACCTCGATGTGGTTTTCAAAACCTCCCAGAAAACAAGGAACAAGACCTTCCTTCAGTCTCCACGCTGTGCAGCAGTGGTGGTCACAGCGAGGCCCCCAGTGTGAAATCCTTCTTCTTACTGAAGACCCCCCTGCTCATTTGAGACTCCTCGCCTCCATAGCTGCCGGCTTCTGTAGAAGTCTAATTTAACTTCACGGCAGGGTGCTGCTGTGCTCTCTCCTCGGGCTGTCTCCCACCTTCCCCCACACCTCCTTTCTGTACAGACCACCCTGGCCACTTGGGACACACTCAAGTTCCTCAGACACGGCCTTAAACCACGGCCAGAAGACAGCAACGCAGTTCTGGCCCCACAACAAGCCCACACTTACACGGCCACCCCTGGAGTGCGAGTCGCTTATGAAACCCCTGCTCAGTGAGCTCCAGCAGCAGGTGATTGCATCCCTGGCCTCACCCTGGCCTCTGCGACCGCCTCCAGTCGGGCAGGACGGCCCGCCACAGGCTCACAGAGGCAGGCCTGGAGCGCTCCCCCAGCCCGGCTGCTGCTGCACTGCTTCCTGCTTATGCTCAAGCCAGGCTGCAGCGTTGGGGCTGAGGAACGGAAGAGGGGTTCTCGGGAGCCAGTCCCTGAAAGCCCCCAACTCAGGACAGGAAGGAGGACCTTAATAGTGCCACAGCTCCTAACCCGTGGTGCCCGAGAGCACTTCTCTCTGCAGAGCGGGAAACAGACGGGAGCCAGGGACCCGCACAGGGTCAGCCGAAGACAGAGGCTGCACTTTTTAGAAAAACTAGAAAGAACTACAAAGGTGGCTGCCCTCCTCTCTGGCAGAGCCGGACTCAAAAATCGAGTCTGTGTCTGTATTTAACTACAACACAACAAAAAACACGTCCAAAGCAAAAGGGTTTGCCTAACCGTTCACAGTTTAAGAAGAACATCTTTAAAGATGCAAATATAATCACGCTAACGGCATAAAGCTGACTTGGGTAATTTCCCGACTAACCAGTGCTCACCTGCTGCTTCCTCGTGGGGAACTTCAGGATGTTTGCTCTGAAAAAAGGGTACTTCTCATGGGTGTAATCATACATCCACTCACAGAAATGGTTCCCAATGTCGAACCCCCTGAAAAAGAGGCAACATGTGCAGAGAATGTGGCAGCCTGCCCACCACCAGGCCCGTCCACAGAAAGGAAGAGGCTGGGTCGTGAGCCCCCTCACGACAACAAGCTGGGCTCCCTGGGGCCCCAAGAGGAGCCCTGCCACAGGGACAGGGGCAGTCACATCCAACAGGGCTGTTGTCACAGCCATAGCCAGAGACACCCAAACTGCCACCCAGCTCTTTTGAGTGCATCCTCCCGCTATCAGCATTTTTATGAAGGAAATTACCCGTGAGCCCAGAGAAAGGTGCCCAGTCCTGGATACTGACCACGCACAGCCCCACTCCCTCCAACAACGGCCACCGTGGGTGCAGGCACGGAGAGTGCTGGTTCCCAGAAGAGACTTTAACTGCTGCCTATTTGCCCCACGACTGTTTCATAGGTGCAAACAGAGCCACATGAAGACAAACACGTGAACACGCTACCTGTAGTTATAGCTGCTGTATTCAAAGTCGATGAGCATAAGCTTCTGGCTCTCAGATTTCTCCCTCCCTTCCAGCAGTAAGATGTTACCTGCAGAAAGGTTTGTACGTGAGGTTTCTCGGCAGATTTTCTACTCCAAGGCCCCAGTCCTGAACAGCACAGCCGGTGAGTGACAATGGCAGCCACCGTGGCCGGAACCTGGCATGGCACTGTCCTGGAGGGCCTAGCCCTCAGTGGGTCCCCATCTGCCGACGGCAGCCCCAGAGGAGCGCAGCCCTGGGATCTCCCTCGGTTTTCAGGGCAGGGCTTCCCCGGCATTTCACACGGGGCACGAGGGAAACGCCCGTTCAGCACACTGGGGCTCGGGCGGCCCCGGGTGGGGATGCTGGGAAGCTGGGTTCTGGCATCTTCCAGCGAGGATGCTGGGGGTGAAGTCAGCCACCACAGGGCTCTGGGGGGCCACTGCTGGCCCCCGATTTGCCCTCGCTGGGTTTTCTTCCCAGGAAGACCACAGGCAGCATTCTGACAACTGTTTTTCCTTTAGGGCTGAATTCCGGGCCAAAGTAAGCCGGCTGCCACGCTGGCCCCTCGGGCCTGCGTGCTGGGACTGCCTGCTCCCCACTCCCTGGTGTACACAGGGTTCAGCATCTCCGCCCTCCGGGGACCTGCAGGGGGCGCTGTTTCCTGGGTGCTGCACACGCGCCTCCTGTTCCCAGGGGCTGTGACGGGAAGTGGAGGCCGATGGGCCAGCAGCAGAATTCAGCACACACACCCCGTTTGCACCACACGCCTGCCAGCACTGGGGGTGGGCCTCCCTCACACACAAAACCGGCCGGCGTGTCCGCACCTGCGTGACCAGAGCCACGCAGCCAGTGGTGCCCACTGTGGAGGGCGGGGCCCCAGCACCCTTCGTCACGGTGCCGCTCCCGGGGGACAGGAGCAGGTGCCTTAGGGAGGTTAAGGCCTTTCCCCCAGCTCCCAGTTTGGCACATATTCTGATTTCTGCCATGAGGATAGTTTTTTACAGAAATGGGATCATACCCCATAGGTTTTCCTCAAATGTGCCTTTTTCTTTTAGTGTATTCTGGAGACTTCCCTGTTGGTCTGCATGAAACTCACCCTCTTTCTTTTCCACGGTTACGCAGAACTCCATGTCTGGCATGGTCACGTAAGGCCTCTACCCTCGCCCTCCCGGAACCCTGCACCCACCACACCCGGAGGCGATCCCTCAGTGCGCGTGCACCCTGGGCAGCAGCTCGTACCTTCCTGGCAGTCGTTGTGACAAAACACAACCGGAGACGGGGTGGACTCCAACAGGGACCTGGAAGGGGGGTCCACTGTTACTCACCAAGCCCATGAGAAGCCAGCGCAGACAGCCCTGCATTCTCAGCCCTGCATTCTCAGCCCGCCCCGCACGGGCTGGCACTCCAAGCTGGCCTGCAGCTGGGGCGGTGTTTGTCACATGAGCTGTGAAAACGCCGTCACACACAGGGCAGGCACGAGTGCAGGCGGCAGGACTGGCGCTCCGGCTCTGCTCCCCACTCCTCTCCTGGGGGTCGCCCCCCCGCAGCTGCTGCTTGGCCCGCAGTCCCCACTCCAAGGGCCAGCTCTGACCACCGACAAGAACGCACCCCTCTGTGTCAATCTATTTTGTCCTCTGGTTTCCTCTGCAGCACTTGTCACAGCTTAACGTTATGTATTTGCTCACTGGTCTGTCTTCCTTCATGTGACGGAAGCTCCCCGAAGGTCTCGGTTCGGTTTCCACCGGGCAGGCCCTCATGGACTGAGGGTTTAGAGGCGTGCACACTCCCACCTTGGGGGAGTATGCCAGGAGCCTGCACCCAAAAACTCCATGGTAGTGCCTCCTCAGCAAGCGATGTCACGCTTCTCCCTGTTGCCCCAGAGCTCCAACTGTCCCCCTCGCTGGATGACACTCCCCAGCTGCCACCACGGCAGGCCATTTGGGTTTTGTTTCAGAAGAAATCTACTACCCTAGTCACTGATCACTCCTACGGAACTGCACCCCCGCCATGACACCTTGGTGATGACCAAAGCATGATGTCACATGTGCAAAGCCAACTCCAGGTGACAAACCCACTGTTGGAACCATCCTGCAGAGCCACTGTGAACGCCAGACCTGAGGCCAGCCTCGTGAGTGGTTACTGATCACGTCTTCGCGACTAAGAACATTTGAAATTTCGGACAGATGCACTTCCTGAGCCCGAACGCGGGCGCGCACACTCACCGCAGGTTCTTCAGCTCCGACGGCAGGTTGTAACCGAGGAGTCTGTGCAGCTGCCTCACTTTGGTGTCCCCGGTGAATTTAATTCTCAGCACTTGATTTAAATATCTTACAAAAAAGGAGGACAAAAAAGCATTACTCAATTCTCAGTGACTTGTCCTTGGGCTCAAGTCACATGTAACCATGCAATCATGGCTCCCAGTCTCCGTGACGGGGACAGAGGGGTGGGACTGGGGCTCAGGGCGCTCTGGGCAGCAGACCCCCTGCCCGCTGCATCTCTACAAAGTCTTCCTTCCCGGTTCAGGGACTGAGCTGACGTGCAACAGAGAGCCGGGCTCAAGGCAGACGCCGCCCGCTCACGGCTGCACTCCAGCAGACCCCAGGGGCCTCCCCACCGGGGGCCGGCCGTGCTCGCCCCGTACCAGGGGCTGCCCATACAGTACTGAGAGCCAAGGGGCTGCCCACTTACTTTTCCATTGTTCCAAAAAGCCATTTTGGTTCCTTATTAAACGGCATTTTCATTCCATGAAACGTGGCCATTTTCTCAGCTATTTCTGCAGAAATAGCTGGCAAACTTAATTCTTCGGTGTCTAATCGCCGGCTCTGAAACAAAAGGGGTTAGAAAGTGGCGTTTATCCAGGTAACCTAGGAAGTGGGAGCTCACACAACCTTTGAGAACAAAAAGCCAGGTTCTATGGGGCACCTGTGTCTCAAGCCAGTGCACAAAATTCCCTCAAGAACGCCCCTGTGCCTGAAGATGGTGACCTGGCAATCGCCAGGGCACTTCCTAGTGAGGGGCCGGTCACCCTCCATTGTTAGCTTCACTTCGAACCCTTCTAATCGAGAGAGAGCCATTCACATCTGGTTGGGGGCTCTGCCCTCTGCTCACCCCGCCTAGCACAGAGGGAGGTGCCTTCCACGGCCAACACCCCCGGTCTCCAGTGGCTCATCTGCTGGCCTGGCACCCAGCTGGGACAGCCCACGCTGACCTGAACAGTTGAGCCATGTCCCACTATTCACAGGGGTCCCCAGCACCTACCTAGCCTGGCACAGAGAAGGTTTCAACAGAGAAACAGAGGCGCCCAGCCGGTGGGAGTCGGCCCCGGCTCCCTAGCAAAGCTGCACTGGTGTGGCCATCATTCCACAACTGGTCACGTGGAGCTCAGTCCGTCTTTCCCACACGAACTGGCCCCCTACAAAAACCCCTAGACATTTTTCTGAAAATCCAGAGTGGGACAGCCCAGGGGTTAAGAGTGAATGCCCCAAGCTAAAAACGCCTCAACTTCTGGCTTCCATACTCACTTCAAAGCCACAGAGCCGAGGGCCCACTACTTAGACCCTGTACCCCGTCTTCCGTGTCTGTCAAGGCCAGCGCGACAGGAAGCCCCTCATGGGGCTGCTCCCAAATCAGCCTGCGCAGACAGCGTGGACGGGGCTCCGGCCGGCTCCTAGCCAGCGTGTCTCCCCACACAGCAGGTGCCCTACGACTGGGGCCCAGGCCCACGGAGAACACCAGGCTCAGAGTTCCTCCCAACTCTGGGTCCTCCACAAGTGACCACGACATGCGACAGAGACACAGCTTCTAGGAGCAGGACACCGAGGACTAGTTAGAACAACTCGCTCAGCTTGCAGAGCTACTAAAAGATACCAGTAACTTGTTCGGCAGCATGGGAAGGGTAAAGCTAACGTGCTCAGAGACGAGGAAATCTCAGGGTCCGGAGTCCCGTCCTGGCGCAGAGGAAGGGACACATGAGACCGCCTCCCGTTCCTGCAGGCCACCGCCCCCCCGTGCCCTCTGAAAGGTGGGCTTCGTCCTGCCCCACAACAACACATGGAATCAGGGTCAGCCAGGTGAAGTCGCCCTTCCTGCGGCCTAAACCAGTTACCTGCCGGCCGTTTCACGGTGGTCCCCCGGTACTGTAACAGCCCTTCTCCAGGACACGCCACTATAAAAAACACGCACGCGAGCACTCGGGGCGGCAGCCACGCCACAGTCCCGGTACAGAACCGGGGTCAGCAGCTCCCCGCTTTCCCTGAAAAGAGAAGTCCCCCGCACACGCACGTGTGGAGCAAGTCTGAACTTGCCCTTCCTGAGCTTCGCTGGAGCAGTGGACACTGTGCGCGTCCTCTGCGGCTTCGCCTCATCGCTCAGCACTGTCTTCGCGGTGCAGCCGCGCTGCCACGTGGGAACATGCGAAGTCTTACATTCGCAAAACTCTCTCAAAGACTTTTATGATCTCATTTGATTCTCATGCCAGACAGATTTACTCTCTTTCCTGGGGAAAATGCAGAAAAAACTACCACCAGGTTCCCAGAGGTTCCCAGGCACGTGCCAGGAAGAGACTAAAATTGAACTCAGAGAATGAGTAACGCCCCCCCCCCCCAGCAGCCCCAGGGCAGCGGCGGGCACACACCCGAGTCACGGGGGCCGTGGGATCAGACGAAGGAAGCCCCTCCCCTGCAGCCCCCGCTGGACGCAGGCAGAGTCCTGCGAGCAGAGCATCCCCTCGCCAGGGGTCCCGGTGCCGAGCACTGTGTTCAGACACAAGTGGCTAAGACACCATGTGAGGCAGGGCCTGGAAACGCTGCCACAAGTGACCCCAGCCCTCAAGGAGCTTTGCAGGCTGACGGTGGGCACCCTTCTCCACATCTGCAGGCCTGGGGGACGCAGGTCAGCAAGGCTCAGCATCTGCACCCAGAGGAGCTACTGCCCACACCCACACTCACTCTAACAGGCGCTCCTGAGGCCGGGGCCCGCTGGGGGAGGGGTGGGATTCCCACTCTTAACTCTAAGCCAGGCTGGGCTACGGACGTTAGAGCAACATTAACAATGCCTGAGGCCAGCAAGCAGTTTGGACTCAGAAACAGTCAGAGCTGGGCCTGGACATGGGAGAGGAGCCTGGCGGGCACCCAGGGACAGGGAGGCAGGGAGGCGCCCAACAGAGAGGGGGGACAACAGGAAACAAGGCAGAGAACAGCGGTGGCCTCACAGGCAGAGACCACGGGCGGGGCCCGGAGTGTGCAGCCAGGTCCAGGGGGAGGCCCTGCAGGTGCGAGGAGCACAGCAGAAGGGGGCGCTACAGGGCAGGCAGCTCTGGGGCCAACGGGTGTTATGTCTCATACATATTTTTGGTTTGGATAAACATATCTTTGCAAAAAAGGCAGGATCTGATGCGAATTCCAATAGAAATTTGTTTTTCCTTTATTTCAGACACAGGTCGCATTTACTGTTTCAGCCCCAGCACCCCAGGCGCCAGCAGCCACGGCACAAAGACTCTGCCCTCCTCATGGCGGGACCACCAACCCAGGGGTCAGTCGCAAGCTCTTACCGGGATGAACTGCTCCAGGCGGCCTTGTGGAAAGATGCCGTACAGCTTCGGCCCCAGCGCCCTCTCTGCAAGAATGGCGAACATCACGCTCTCCAGAACCATGGCCTCGGCTCCCTGGAACAGGTCAACACACCAGATGTCACCAAGGGCCGAAGCTGCCCGGGCATCAGCGTGCTTCCCAGACAGCAGGGTCACCTGGTCTATGGAGCCCATGGAACACACCGTCAAGTGTACCGACACCTGCAGGGTGCGGGTGCCGGACACAAGGGAGAGCGAGAAGCCACAAACCCACCCCTGTGTGGAGGAGTGATGACAGAAACCTTCCCTGCACCGGTGGAGGAGACAGATGCAAGTCCAGAAAGCACAGCATCCCACACAGGATGGACCCAAAGAAGCCCACGCCAAGACACATCATAATTAAATCACAAAAGGTTAAAGACAGAGAGGGAATCTTAAAAATGGCAAGAGAGAAGCAGTTAGTTGCCTGTAAGGGTGCTCCTGCAACACTGTCAGAGGACTTCTCCACAGAACCTTCGCGGCAGAGGGACTGGGCAAGAAGGAGTTCAAAGCGGCGAAGCGCACGGACCTACGACCAAGGCTGCTGCACCCACAGAGCTGTCGCTTATCACCGAGGGTCGCATACCGAGCTCCCCAGACAAGAAAAAGCTAAAGGAGTCTGTCGCCACCAAGCCAGTATTATATGAGTGTCTCCTTTAGGAAGAAAGCAAGGTAAAAAATATGAGTAAAATGGCAATACATACATATCAACAATTGAACCTAAAAAACAAAACAAATGAAAAAGCAGCCCCGACCGGGTAGCTCAGAAGGTGAGAGCGTCGTCCCAACGTGCCCAGGTGGTGGGTTCGATCCCTCAGTGGGACACACACAGATTCAACCAAAGAAAGCATAAATAAGTGGAACAAACTGATGTTTGTCTCTCAAATCAATACAATAAAGAAGCACAAGTTTGGCAGTTGCAGAATACCATGGGGACGTAAAGAACCTCACAGGGCGTACAGTCAATATTCTAATAATCACGGAGGTGTCAGGTGGGCGCAAGACATAACGTAATGGTCACTTAGTTATACAGTATCCAATCACTGGGGTGAACACCTGAAACACACACTATTGTATGCCAACCATAAATGGAAGCTTAAAATATCAAGAAAGGAAGAAACGTCTATGGGGAATATGATCCGGACAGACACCGTTCAAAATACATCGGAGCTCTCGAAGTCACACTCCCGTTACAGAAATAAACTGAGACAAAGAAAGTAAGAGAAAAACACCACTCACGAAGGACACGGGCTGCCCTCCAGTCAAGAGCAGTTCAGTCACCGGTGCCTTCGGTGGGGCGGACGGACTTCAGCGACCCCCACTGTTCTGGTCTGGCCGCCGCGTGTGAGCCCCACAATTACGGCCTGACCATCACCCCGTGAGGCCCAACCCTGGTTCACTCTGCGTAAGTGACGCTACGAACCACCCTGGGCCCCCCCAATCCACACACTGCAGTCCCCACCCCATGCAATGGGGTCTGGAGGCGGGGCCTCTGGGAGGTGAGCGGTTTGGGGGGCCCTGAGGGGAGCCCTAGGGGTCAGTGTTCACGGGAGAGCCCTGCTTGTTCTCGCTCCCCCTCCGCCACGTGCGGGCTGAGAGAGAGGGTGTCTGCAAGGCGGGAGGAGGGCGCCCCGACCGCGAGGTGCCGGAGCCCGGAGCCCGAGAGACCCAGATCTGAGGTTCCGCCCGAGGAGCCTGCCCCTGTGCCTGGCACAGTGCTCCAGGGGCACAGCGCCGACCCTCCGAAATCTGGTGGGTCTGAGCGCATCACTCGTCCAACTTCAGACAGGCCTCATTTTTAAACTCAGAATGGACGGCGACGCGTCCCTGACACCTCTCTCTAGCCGGAGAATGTCTCCTTCACTCACGTGCCTGACCAGAAAGCAGACCTGCGTGAGGTGTGGGGGCCGCATCTGGCCTCCCACCCAGCATCAGAGACGCCCCCAGGAATGGACCAGGTCTGCGGGGGTCCCTCGACTCTCCACTCGGACCCTGCCCCGCCGCCCGCCACTGCCGTCTGTCGGAGCTCCGTCCGGGACTCTGACCCTTCCCCGGGCGTCTCCGAGGAGCGCAGTGAGGGTTTCTTCTGTCTGGGGCCCTGAACTTCGCTGGAACTGAAACTTCTAATTTTCCTGTGCAGAGGGACGAAGCCAAAGGGCTTTAAGGTGAACACTGCATAAAACACACACGTACCCAACGCACATGTCCCTCGGAGTCTGAGGCTCCGAGTTTTACGAGCGACATTTCATTACTTCAGTGCGCATTTGTGCACAGCGTGCCCACTGAGCGCGCCGGCTCCCGGGCGCCCACTGCGACCGAACACGCGTGCCCCGGAACCAGAGCCGAGTCGGCCCCTCGCCAGGAAGGACGGCGGAGAAAGACCTGAGAGCGCTCCAGTCTCTGCTGCGGACAATGCAAACGAGAAAACCTCTGCTCTTCTGTGACACTGCCGCTCAGTATTTATTCAAAACAGGGAGAAGGGGGGACGGTTTATGGAGGGAAGAATCTGGAAAGAATGAAGAGGAAAGAAAACACAAAGTCACAAGACAAACAGGCAGGGGAAGAAGGCCCCCGGGCAACCGCGGAGCGAGCGCACGGAGCACTGGTGGCCCTTCTGTGACCACTGGGTCTCCATGAGCTGCGCTGTCGCTCCTTAAGGGAAGTGAGCACCCAAGGAGGCCGACGGCAGGCGCTGTGAATTCTAAGCAGGGGTCTGGGAAGGAGTGGCGCTACGGGGAAGATGCAAGGAAGGAACGCAAGGACCGAGGAGGGAGGGCGGCCTGGGAAGAGGGCCCTGGGCCGGACCACGGAGGGCCGGCAGTTAACGCAGCAGGGACGGGGCAGGCAGTCTCCACGGCGCCCGTGTCCCGGCCGCCCCAGGGAAGCAAACATTTCAAAACGGGCAGGGGTGCTGTGAAACGCTGTGAAAAGGTCCACATGAAACGAGGACCGGAAGTGTACTTCGGCTTCAGCATCCCACGGGGCTCGGTGCCACGGCGTTTCCAGCCCCCAGGAGGTACGAGGGCTTGCACTCGAAGCCTCAGAACCGCGGAGGACAGCGCGTCTGTCCTCCACGTCCCTGCCGGTGATGTCTCAGCCCGTTCTAGACCCTCTGAACCAGGGTCTCCGGAGCAGGGCGCGTGCAAGGCCACCCACCAAGGACAATACGAAGACAAAATATCAGCACTTCTGTTCCTTTGTAATCTAACTGCTTTTTAATGTCTTAATTACTTCAATGACTAGCACACAGTTAGTAGTTAAAGCCAGTAATCTTTGTGTGCACACGCACACACGGACACCCCTTCTATACAAACCCACACTTGTTGGGGGAGCATGCTCAAAAGTTGTCTCCTCTCTGGGACGGGGGGACAGCTGCTCTGGACCCCTCACATTTGAGCCTCGAAGAGGGGGATCGTCCTAACTCACATCCTGTAACTGAGGGAGACACCCCTCCTACCTGGGTACCTGGAGTGAGAAAAAACACTCCTACGTGCCCCAGGAGGGGGCCGCTGAAACACCGGGGTGGTGACAGGCACGGCGCGGCAGCGAGACAGGCTGCCCCGTATGACAACATCATGTACAAATGGCACCTCAAACTGCCATCTCTTAGCAGCCCCAATGCTCCTCGGGTTTTTCCCTGAGGACACCAAACACGCCCCGCCTACAGTCCCAGCAGGAATCGGGAACATCCACTGTCCCTGCAGTCTTAGCACACGGCTCCCACACACCGAGAGCCCACCCTCCAAGACAGACACACGGACCAGGGTTCTCCAGGCACTGCCCCGGCAGAGTGGCCAGGTCGGCTAACATGGTCACACCTCACAACACAGACGCAGAATGGACTTCATTACTTACTTGAAATTCATTTTCATTCTGAGCTTGTTCGGATCCCTCCTTATTACAGGACCTCTACGAATGAGAAAAAGCAAACACCTCCGGTGAGATGGGGAACACTGCGCAGACTCTCACTTTGCAACCACCAGAACCGCCAGGGTTAACAAAACGTCACAGACTTTTAATGAGCGTTTCTCAGCCCGCTGGTGTCTCAAACACACCACCAGGGTCCAGCACTAGCACCGACACCCGAGGAATCGCTTCGTTTCTTTACAAGGAGAGGGATGTGCTGTCGAGAGCCAACAGCTGTGACTCGACCACTCTGGTGTACCGTCTCGCAATTTCATTGTTTGAGGAAAGTCAACAGAGGGCGCTCTTGCAACCAGGCCTTCCACAGACAGTTGGACAAGCGGAGTATCAGCAATTTAGCCAGGTGGGTCTCCATCCCTGGCAGGAACAGGGAGTGTACCCCTGCCCTGGGCAGACGTGGTCAGCACAGAACTCGGGCAGAGAAGCAAGCCCTGCGCTGGCAGGCGACCTGGCACAGAATCTGTGCAGACCAGCCTGCCAAACTGCCCGTCCCACTCCGTGTGGTCTGTCCTCCACCAAAAAGAGGTCTGTGCGAATGCAGCAAGTCCCTGAACTTGCTCCACACATTAACTTGTGAAGGGATGCTTTTACATCACTTTCCTCAATGAAATTGCAAATTACTGGTAACCAGGGTTCTGGCAATGAGAACAACTGCCATCCGCAACTCCCTGGCTACATTGTCTCATCATAGCTTCTAAGGCAACCCCCGCCCCAAGCCTTTCACGCTATCTTTTAATCAGAGGGCGGGGAAAACAAGTCAGAAACTTAAGTGTTATGTCAAAATTTTATGTCCGAGGTTGCCTCTAGAAATCCATTGTTAAAATTAAACTAAAGTCTGTTTACGTCAGACACAGGAGGAAGCCCATAAAGGAAGCTCTTTAAAAATGCTAAGGTAAAAGGTTCTTGAACACCCCACGAAAGACATACCTTTACATTCCACAGCTTTATCAAAAAACACCTGTACCAAGGGTGGAAAGTGTGGACAGGGAAAAAAATGCCACGTTAAGCAACACCAGCTACTCCAGCACCATTCAAAACACCTAGCGTTTTAAAGCGACTCTCTCATCCATTATACATGGAAATAACACTCCACAGACAGTGTAACGTGTTTTATATAAACAGTACGTATTCTAGCTTACTCAGCATAAAAGTAAACAAATTAATATTCATGTTCATGAAGCTCTCTGCAAAGACTTGCGCTTACATACACTCAATAGCATCTTTCCCTACACACAGTTCAATGCATTTGGTACCAAGTCCAGAGAACACAGATGGGCATATGGCAGTTTATCTGTGTAACCTGCATCTCTCTGATGAAGGTGGTACAGGTTAAATCCCGCTACAGTGAGAGCCACACAAATGAACAGCACAGAAATGCCGTGAGGCCTCCGCTGACGGACTGGTGTACCATGTGACAAACCCTGGGGTGGGGGGTGATTAGGTGTCACGGAAGCTCTGCTCCTCCCGGACTCCGGATACCCTCAGAGCCCCGTACATGGTCTCCCGCCCTAGTGGCCTGTGTGTATGTTACCTATCAATATGGACTCCATTTTTGATATAAGTCTTTCCCAAAAGCACCAAGCAAATGCCGGTGCTTAAACACCTTTTGGATAGCACAAATATGGGAATACTCGGGCACTGTGAAATTCAAGGTGGTCAGCTCAAGGTACAACCTAGGATGGCAGAGCTAGCCCGCTACAGCAAACTCACATCCATGACCCCAGCAGCAGGACAGTGAATGGGGCTGAAATGCCCCCAAAACATACCCTTGTGCTTTTTCTCCCTGAGGGAAGTTAAGCACAAAAGAAGTTCTATAGGCTGACACACTGCACACTGACACTTTGTAGGGAAGGCTTTAAGACAGTTAAGGCATTTGGATATCCTATGAAACTTTGTAACGGGATTTGACCTGTACTAAGTCCTAAATGACTATGGTTATTCCTATGCTGCTATTATTCTAACTGTATCTTCTTAGGGAGATACAGTTAAGGGTTATTAAGCCAACAGAAGTCCCTTTTCCTTGTCTTAAATGGTGCTCTCAAAAGCAAGTCACTTCATCCAAAGTTAGAACCGGCTTAGTTCCCAAGGCAGTTCCTTTTGCAGGTGTTAGCACCCGGTGCAAGTAACTTCCCGCCCCGCCCACGGCACTCCACCCGAAGGCATGCGTTACTTATTCCACAAGAGCACCATCGTGAAGGCAAGATGGACTTCTGCCACAGCCAACCTCCTGTTCTGTTTCCTCAGTACAAAATGCTCAGGGCTCCCTCGGTCCTGTCAGGAAGTCCAGGAAGTCCCAACGCAAGAAGGTGCGCGTGCAAAGGCGGGGGGAGAGGCCCCCTCCGGAGGTGAGCCAGGAAGAGGGACTCACGCCGCCAAAAAGAGGTCAGAGTACGCTTCTGTCTGGAAAAACAGTAAGTAAAGACATCTTGGTGTCTGTGAGGTTTTACTCGAGGCACCGATTTGTCTGAAGCAGATATGGAAATACACTGCACAAATATTTAACGCCATCCACAATTTCCCCCAATTTGTACATTCATAAAAATTAGCTTTCATAAGTTATAAAACAGAACCGGAAAATGTTTACATTTATTAGAAATTTGAACAGCGATAATGAAAAATATTCTGCCACTGGCTTCCTTCCATCGTCCGCACCCTTTTCCTCCCACCTTGGTTTTCGAGAGAACCTACAAGTATTCATCACAATCCACACATTCATGAGACTGTGATACAGGAAGAAAACAGACCAAAGTGCTGGCAATAATAATAAAGGGTATGGTTTATATTTTGCTTTAATGTTATAGAAAACTTTAAAAACTGAAACAGATTTTGATTGGCCAAGAACTTTAAAAATTAAAACCTACATTTAGCCCAGTTGGTTTGAGCGTCATCCTGATTCGCCAAGGTCATGGGTTTGACTCCTGTCAATTAAGGGCACACACAAGACTCAACCAATGAGTGCTCACGTGGGTGGGGCAACAGGTCGATGTCTCCCTCCCCCTCTCTCAAATCAATGAGTCAATACAAACTAATTTCCTAACAGCCTAAATTCTCTGAGACAGGAAGTAACACGACAGAATTAGGACTTTTGCTTTATACTTTACATACTTCCATGTTTTGAAAAGTGTTTCAAGTATGTTACTTTTATAATAAATATATTTGGTACAGGTTTCCAATGTTGCTTTTTCTGACAAAAATCATATTTAAAGGCTTTTGTACTTAAAAGACCATAAAAAAGTAAATGTTCGTATTATAGGTTATCACTTTTCAAATGTTCTATTTCATGATTTGCAAACAAGATGAAAATCCACAGCTAGTAAGGCATCTTTTAGGGGCTGAGATGAGGAAATGCCACTCGACTGTTTCACAGTCTAACCAGGTTATTTCTTTACATTTGTTTAAGCCATTGGGCAAGATAAGCTCTGGTCCTTGGTCAGTTTTCAATTGAAGTCCCTCCAATGAGGAGGGAACTAGTTCTGTGACTAAGCACTTTAACACCGACACAGCACCCGAGACAAAACAAAGGGGCCGCTGGTCTGCCCCAGAGACCGTGGGTGCGGGTGTGTAACAAGCTAGTTCGAGTGGCGTGCGGCTGTCTCGGTATCACCTGCACTGCCTGAAACGCTGATCTTCAAAGTGTCTTCGGAGACCAGAACTGTGGAGCTGCTGGTGGGATGGGCTGGGAGAAGTCAGGAGTCAGCTCCCAAGGACTTGTCATCCGCGGTGTAATAAACTGGGAACACTACCTGAGAAATCAAACCTTCATCAGTTACAGATGATGTTGTAACAAAGCAGCCACTCTCTCAAATACAACAGTGGCTACAGAGACAGAGGCAATACAAAAGGCGTGTTTTGTGGAAACCAGGAGGCCATGTTCTCCTCCCCACCGGCCCTGCTCCGCCTCAAACAACTCAGTGGACTCTTCCAAAGGCTCTCACTGTGTGAAAGAGGAGCTGGTCGTGGCCTCTGAAAACACTCTGGCATCCAGAAATGAGTGATTAAGAAAGAATAATTGAAGTGTCAACCACACTCAGCTTTCGGGGGCACCTAAGATGTGGTCCAGGAAAGTCCTACTCCTCTCCACTGACTGGATCACCCCCACAAGCTGAGTCCCGAGCCATGCCCAGCCGCCCACAGTCACCCTGAGGACAACATGTTTGTGCCCTTCTGAAGGCTTAGTAACTGCGGCGCTCGCTGGTCCTGGGCCAGATAACCTGGCCTTCTTTAGCGTGCAGCCTTTGGCTCTGAAGACTCCACCCTGGTTCCTGGCCACACTCAACTCTCTAGGAGAGAAGATCCCTGCACAGGACTGGCGCCCGCTAACAATGAGACTCCACTCCTCTGCAGTGAGCTGGGCGGGAAGATCGACTCCCCAGGAGGGACCGCAGCCGCGCGGCTCCGTCCACTCCCGCAGCGCGTTTTCTTCTCACTGTCGCCTTGACCCTGACCTTCCTTCTCCAGGGTTCCTACGAAAATACCCTGTAATTATCGTTTTATGGTTTCTTACAACATTTCTTGAAAATATTTTACATAACGTTAAAATGTGAGATGCACATGCAACGGTTTAAAACGGAAAACACATGAATTATAAGAATTTAGACAAGTGAGTCTACGGCCACACCACCCTGAACGTGCCTGATCCCGTCTGATCTCGGAAGGTAAGCGGGGTCGGGCCTGGTTAGTACTTGGACGGGAGAATATTAGTGAGTTCTAATATTTTATGATAGTCTCTAGAGCATTTTTAATTATCCCAAGGAATTTTCTAAAACAATTTGATCCTTCTGAACTTTGCAAAATCGGATGACTTGCTGACCGCCAACCGGAGACCAGGACTTCCGCAGACTAAGTACAGACAGGTGCACAGAAGTCTTGGTAAAGAAGGCTCCTGCCAGGACCTTCTCAAAATTTACGTCTGATCCAGGGTAACCTGCTGCCCCAAGACGCTGAGGCATCCGAGCTGAGAGTACCTTTACCGTAAACAGCTGTGGGCTGCCTCGGCACCGGCGCGTCCCAGGAGGAGCGCCGCAACCTCCCCAGCCTGTGCATGCTTCTACAGCCGGTGAGCACAGCTGAGCTCAATGAAGCTGTTGGGGACCCAGCAAAGACTGGCAGAAGGGTCCCAGCTGACTGGGCGAGGAGGAAAGTTTGTTCCCAAATCTGACCAAAACAGCATGGTGCTTCCTGAATGCTGAAAGTGGCATAAGGGAAGAAGGTTAGCACTCCAACTGATTTCTCAAGTTGCGGCCCATAAATGGCTAAAATTATTAAATGTCATTTTTTACTGAGGAAACAGAAGAAGGGGATCTGATTTGCCTTGGACAAAAGCTAAACACCCCTCCCCGCAAAAAGTGATGTATTCAGCACATACCGTTCTGATATCTCAGTCGCTGCGCCTCTTTAAACACAGCACAAACTGTAGCTGGTGCTACTTAACAAAAGCATTACAACGTTCTTTTTAAAAAGCATTTCTTGAAACCAAGAACTAAAAGGAGGAAATTAAAGCTGTAGACAGTGCGCCGACTTCAGAGGACTCATACTGTACCGTGAATCGTGTCTGTCACCTGGAAACCAGAGTGCGCCAGGCACGATCGCATGGACAAGCCTGCAGCAGAGAACACATGCACAGACAGCTAAAGTGGTGCGTCACCCTGTCCCCTTCACGCCACCCAGCACCACACATTCCTTCCCGACACGGGCGGGCTGCGGTCACACCGTCGCTCCAGGGGCCAGAAATCTGTATTGGCTTCATGCTATAAATCTCAGACATAATTTAGGACCAGCAAGACAAAGACACTTTGAGTATGTCAAAGTTAGACACAGTCATGTGCGGTTTATTTCGTTATCAAAACAAGGCACCAAGCAGGTATGGAAGGAGTATCCGCTGTCATCTGGCGACTCTCTTTGGTGAGCACTTGCTGAGGAAATGCTGGGTGAGACCGAATGGGAACACAACGCCAGAAAAACGTCTGACTTCTGGGAAGGGAGTTCTGACTGCCTTCCAGACAGATACACTGACACCATACTCAAGGGACAGGGGGATTTTTTTAAAAAAGAGAGTAAACAAAACAACTTAAAACTCGTATGACCCTAATACGATGAGAAAAAAAATGCCAAATTTGGAGTACTCAGTTCCTAGCAATGTGCTCTCAGGCCCTTGGTGAAGGGGCATCAGTCACACCGTCTGCACAGCAGCGGCGACTGACCTCTGTTCCAAGGCGACATGTCAATTTCTCAGTAGCCGATAGTCTACTACTGACTGACTATGGGCTGTTTCGTATTTTAGTGTGGTTTAATTTTTAATTCAACTGGGGTTAAGAGGAAACAGGGAAAACAGTATTTTGTCTCCTGCATTCAAAGAAGACCAGGTACCAAACCCGAATCTCCCGAATCGCTAACACATACCTGCGTTGTGCCTTGATACCTTTAACTGTATTATGGTTAGTACTCAAACAAGCACTAAATATTAGCCTCGTATTACTCAGAAAACAAAACAAAAACATTTCCTCAGACAACACGAGGGATCTCTGATGTGTGCCGTGACACCATGCCTGTGAGACCGCTCAGAACGGGGCCGCATCTCTCCATCCATGCACAGAAGGGACCGGCCCGACACAGAGTCACTGTCCCGACAGAGGGAGGGAGGAAGCGGTCCTCTGCGACTTCCACCAGCTGGCACAGGTTACACTGAATGAGCAATACGTACTGACATTTGTGTCTTCCACAATTCATGATAAATAAGCAAACTGGTTATTTGTAATCGGCCACACTTGCTTCTTTGAAAAGGCTGCTGCCAGACGCTGCCGAGCCCATGTTCCTTCCCAGTATCAGAGAGGAAGAAAAGCAAGTTACATTTACAGCTAATTTGACAATGTCAAGCTCTTTTCTAGCAATGACATTTCTTACCATAGTGGCAAAAGCTAACTAGTACTTCTTCTGAAACCTCCTATTAAACCAAAAACAAAACAAAATGGAAAACTCTGGTTAAATCATCCTATTTTAAGTTAGGGGCAATTTTATAGTTGAATTCAGTTTTCATCATCTACACAGCAAATGAACATAACCCTTTTATAAAATTCAAGTTAAAATTAAAGCTAGTCTCCCTGGGAAACAGACACTAAATTATATTGACATGAATTGCTTTATAATCGCACCAATATTTTCTATGTTTAATCATTCCCTATAAATAATATTGCACAGCCGTCTCTCAAAGCTGCGTGTTTCATCTTACATGTTTCCCATGTCCAACACAGGACTTTGCTGAGGCCCTCAAAGGTAACACAGACCCTACACCAGGCCCGGGCACAGTGAGGAAGTCTGCTTACGGCCCGTCTGACACAGAAATGGGGGCTGGTGCGTGCGGGATGGGAGCGGGGCCCTCAGGGCGACTGGAGGGTTTACCTTGGCCTTCTGCTACTTAACCTGAGTGAGCTGCGCCACAGAGCAGTCAGTTCACTGCCGCTGTGGAGATAAAGGAGGTTAGACACTCGCAACAGCGTGACAAAGAAAAGTGAAAACACCATGAAACATCTCATCATGTCAAGTCCCTTGTAAATAACCGTAAATGTGAATCAAAGAAATATTTCTACTTAATATTCGATTTTCACAGAGATAAAAAAATTTCAACAACTTAAAACAAGGAGAAAGGGAGAGAGGGACATACTAACGGGGTCTATCATATAATTAGGCAAAATACTCTGACAAAACACTTATTAAGTGCAGCCATCAATGAACCCTTTTCAAGGGAGGAGCCCATTCTACCCCCGCAGCGGTTACGTTTGTGGAAATGCACAACGGGTACAGAGGCGTGTGTGCGCTTTCACCTAAGGTAAAGAAAAAAGGGAATGTAGTATTTAAGTTGTACTCTCTTTAATTCTGCCTTTAATTCATTTGTGAAAGGAACGTGATTCACTATTTGGGCGCCTACTGGCTCAGCCGCATTTCTTCTCAACGCCAACCCCGACACGCTGGTACAGGTGCTGGCGGTTTCTGTCGTTGCTGCGGGGACCACGGTGTCACCGGAGAGCAGACCCCTCTCCTGCCCTCACAGGCCAGACAAAGGCTTGATGAGCCAGTGCTGACTGCACCCACTCCCCAGAAACGCAGTAAATATCAGAAATTTTTAAACTGCGTGAAAGAATTTAAATTTCCGGTAAACCCCTGCCACAGTGCGGTGAAAGGTCGACCTCTCCAGCCCCGAGGCCCTCTCCACCGGCCCCCTGCCCCCGCCCACGGTCTCCGGCCCCAACGGGCAGGTTCCCCCAGCCAGGTGGGCACGACCGCAGCACGCTGACTTATTTCCACTCTTTCAGATCCGAACCACTTCTGCTGCATGACTGGGGCAGGGGAAATTCTCCATGAAAGGTCCAGTCGAATTATGACCATTTTTTAAAAGAATTAACATCTAGTGTGCCAATCTTAACTTTTAATATTTCTAAGCATAGTCAAATTAGCATAGATGTGAACATGACCTATTTTTTAGATTGAGCTGAAAGTAATGTTTTAAAAAATTAAAGTCAGAAAACTCTATTTCATAAAGATAAAAATGGGCCCTTCTAAAGAAGACTTCACTGAATATCAAAATTCTACGCTAGAGCCCTGGCTGGTGTAGCTCAGTGGATTGAGCACGGGCCTGCGAACCAGACAATCGAGGTTCGATTCCCAGTCAGGGCACATGCCTGGGTTGCAGGCCAGTTCCCAGCAGGGGACACACGAAAAGCAACCATACATTGATGTTTCTCTCCCTCTCTCCTTCCCTTTCCCTCTAAAGATAAATAAATAAAATATATTTTTAAAAAATAATAAAAATAATAAAAAATAATAATATAAAAATAAAATAAAATGGCATAAAGATTATAATGGAAAATAAACTAAAAAAAATTCTACCCTAGAAATATATCCACCAAACACCTGTATATGTGGTCACTAAAATGGTAAATTCATGCTATAAAAATAGTAAAAAAAAAACAACAAAAACTAGACATTTGGGATATCCTATAATTGGTTAAGGTAATTAACAAATAAGCTACTTTAATTAGAAATTAGATTCAATTACTTAAGTAATATGAAACTCATGAAAGATTATAAATCTAACAAATTCAAAGTTTTAAAGAAATCACCAAGGGAAGAGGTAAGAAAGCCAGCTCCCCTGAGCCCCGGCTCTGCCCATGGGGGCGCCACGAAGCCCCCCGAGCAGGCTGCAGGCGCGACCCCTCGTCCCCAGCGCAGGGTCACGAGCCAAGCGTCATCAAGCACCATCAAAAACTAAACCAACACTGTACTTTCTTTGCATATAAAGCTGGGAGTGTTTATACTAGTTTTCTACTAAATAACAAGTAAAAACAGGAATTCACTTAGAATATAAATAAAAAGCCCAATTAGAATAAAAGCAATATATTGAAATAGCTTTAATAACACCACTAAAGTATTTGAAATCTCTTCCCTGATAACTCAGGAAAGAGGATTAAAACTGTTAGCAGGCCCCTCCCATCCCCGAGCAGCCTGGGAACTCACCATCTTTAAAATCGCCCCGTACAGCCGCAGCAGCACTTTCCGAGGCTCGTCACCAACGGTGGCCACAGTGTCGGGTAAGGAGCACTGGAACAGCATGTTACTGAGGCCACCTCTGGGAAGAAATGAGAGGAGGGTCAGTGTCTGCATTCAGGAGGGAGCAACGTCACTCTTCCTGCGTGAGGACGGAAGGAGAAGCGGGGCTCATCTCTCAGGGCACTTACAACACAGACACTTAACTGCACAGTCTTTAGATCAATCCCACGAGCCCCACCACAGACGGGCAAGTCCCGATCTGCTCTTCTGGCTCAGCCCTGGAGGGGAGTTTTCCCAACTGCACGTGCGCCCCTCACAGGCCCCGGGTCCCTCTAGAGGGACAAGGACCAGGAGCCCTTCAACCCCACATTCTTCCACGACTCCAGACTCCCCTTCTGCCAGATTCCCATCATCACCAGGTTAAAATCTTGGGGCAGTATTTAAACCCTCTCCTCCAGAACTTTCCACCTGAAGTACAGTTCCAAAGTCTACCCCTCTCATGCTCGTGTTATTAAAAATTTCAACTGATTTTGACTAACATGCCTTTTTGAAAACCAGATAACATATGGGAGACCTCAATACCCTAACCCTTCCATGTGACTACTGAAGACGAGAAACAAGTTATGAGGTCACTCCACCAGGAAGGAAAAGCCTTGGGGACAAATCACCTGCCCAAGTTGGTAGAACATGAAATACCACATACTCAGGAGTCACAGACAAGAGGCGCTCCACCTGCAGTGACCCCCAAGTCCTACGTCCTATCTAGAGACCACAGCTGGAGGAACTATTACGTAAACAAAGCAGTCGGCTGGAAGCTAGGGAAACACGAGACTGAAACGTATCTGGTTCCCGCCCTGAGGACTACCCTCTCTGACCAGAGAGCTGACCAACTGCAGCGCAGAATTCCAAGTCGTGGGGCAGCATCTGCTGGCAGGCGCTTCGGTGCACCCCAAGTCTATACCCACCCGTCAGATGCCAAGATATGGGGTGTGCGCACCTTTTGGACAAAAATTCACCAGCAACCCCCCCACAGCTTTCTGAATGAAACCCCAGGAGGCAGCCTCTTTCCCTGCTCCATCCAGAACAATGCAGCCTACCCAAGCCGTGCTCCCAAAAGGGAGGCGAAAGTACAAAGCTCTCCTATGTCGCCATGCGCCCAACTACAGGGACTGTGAGGATCCAGGACGAGCACCACCAAGAAATGCAAAGCGAGAGAAATGGTTGGACTTGTGTGGGGAAGAAAGGAACAGGGAGAAATTTCTTATCTCGAGGGGTTGATGTTACCACACCAACTCCAGCGTAGCAACTCTGACAGCTATGCTCTAGTGACAGATGGTACCCGCCCTCTCTGGGCAGAACCCAGGTTTCATTCAGGCCCTGGAGGTGGCCGGCACCAAGACTGGGGGCCCATGAGACCCCGTGTGGGCAAACAGAGCGTGAAAGGCTGTGTCTGTGTGACTTCTGGGGAATCAAGTTAAGACGCACCCCGCTTTGCCCGTCTTGCCCGCGCTCCGCCCTGCTGTCTGAAACGAGGAGAGGACAGCGTGGCGATGGCTGGGCTCTTGCCTCTGAACTCCAAACTAACCCGTTTTCTAAAGCTGTGATGCCAGACTGGGACTCCGCCAGTTCCTGCACCTGATGGCGTTAGCGTTGCAGCAACAGCCCAGCCGGGCAGCCCAGCCATGGCTGCTGTTCCAGTGCCCACTTCTTTCGTCGGCCCCAGAACCAGCCTCAGAGCCTTCCTCAGAGTCTCCTGGGAGGCTGGGTCCCAATTCTGTGGGGGCCCCTGCTTGGAGTTTCCAGGTTCTGATAACTCCAGCCTCCTCCCCTTGTTCTCCAAGGCCCAGGAGTAGCGCTGCTTCCTGCAGCGAGTATTTTAATCACGCCTGCCTTTTCAGTTCCCCCAACACCTGCTCACTCAACTCCTTACGTTAAATTCTCTATGTTAGAGAACCCAGTGCTGTTCCCATGTTCTCGCCAGGGTCCCGAACAGCACAACGGCCAGAGCTTTAGCAGGTTCTTAGATTCTCACAGTAGGGCCACATCCTAGGAATGGCAGTGGTCAGCCGTAGGAGTCCGCACCCCCATCGGGCCCATGGCGCTTGCACAGCGTTGCACAGCGGCCTGGCCTGCTGACTCCTGCCCCACTACAGAGGCAGACACAGTTCTGTGTTGTCTGACCCATCGTTACTCGGAGTTTTCTGTTTAAAGCTTATCACGGCCACTTACTCGTGTTCTTCCAAACTGGAAACTCCTCCTTCTCTGCTATCTAAAAACTACTTATTAACTAGGGCCAAGTTCAAAATCCAACTCCACAGGAGGCCTCTCCCATCTTACCTGCTAGCTCCTTGAAGGCCGGGCTAAGGTCTAACTTCAATTCTCCAGGCCCAGGGCCCCCCAAACCACAGTGGTGGATGCTCAATAAAGATTTTCCAAAAGTGACAATAAACAGCAGCACTCCCGTCCCATTGAGTCTCTCTGCTCCAAACTCCACCCTGGTATGTTTGATAGCTGTCTCGCATTGTTCACTAAAAATTTTGGTGGGTTAGTCTTGGCTCCCTAAGGGACAACCCCCTCTTCCTGGGGGAGGCATCACACTAAGAGAAAGACCACACTTCAGAGTCAGGGAGACTGGGATTCAAGCCCCACGTATGCCACTTACTATCTGTGCGACTCTGGGGACATCACTAAAGCTCGCTGACCCCCCAAGTCTGTCCTCCGTAAAGGAACGGGCCTTTTTCACTGGTGAGGGTGAGAGCTCAGAGCCATGGGGCCCCTGTATTACAATGTTCTCGGTATCCGACAGGGTTAACACTTTTCACCTGCCCAACCACCCGACAGGTGGAAGCTGGCACCACCTCCGCGTTACAGATGCGAGGTTGAGGCACAGGGCAAGGAAGGGGCTCAGCCAGGGCCCAGGTGCTGCTGCAGGGCTTTGGGGTCCTTGCTTTGAACTCTGATGCCATGAGACACAGGAGACAAAGCAGGAGAGCACCGGGGCCACGCTGGACATCGCAGCCGGTGCTGTGGGTGCCAGGAGCCTCGCAGAAGGGCCAGCCTGTACCGACTCGCACAGACCGAGTGTCCTCACCTCCTGCGGCCACCACGATACATGACCAGAAACTGCTTAAACCGACAAATTTATTCTTATAGTTCTGGAGTTCAAACACCTGAAAATAGGTTTCATGGGGCTATAATCAAGGTGCCAGCAGAGCTGCATGTCAAAATTATACACTATGTTACAGGAAACACATATAAAACAACTAAAACCAGATTCTGATTGTGCTGAGTTTCAAAGGCCGGGAGCCATGAAGGGCAATGAGGAGTCCAGGTGCCGCGGGCACAGAGGGTCAGTTGGGGAAGACAGGGACACTTCTGAGAGAGGGCAGGCAGTGGCACGACGGTGTGCACATGCCCAACGCCACCGAACTGTGCACTTGAAAATGGTGTTTTTATGTATATATTTGCCCCAATTTAAAAAAGGGAAGGAAGCACAGTTACGTGCTATAACGTGGATGGTCCTTACAAACATTATGCTAAGTGAAAGAAGCCACTTACAGAAAAACCACATGGAGAAAGGGAACCGAACACACACACACACACACACGTGTGCACTCATGCAGATTCCATTCATAGGAAACGTCCAAAACAAGGCAGTCAGTAAAGACAGAAGTTAGACTAGTGAGTGCCAGAGGCTAAGGCGGTAGGGCTCACGGGAACAGGGTTTCTCTCTGAGATGATGAAAACGTCCTAAAACTGACTGTGGTGATGGGTGCATACCCCTGTGAGTACGCCAGAAATCACTGAATTGCACACTTTATTACTATTTTTTAATTGACTGATTTTGAGAGAGAGAGGTAGGGAGGAAGGAAGTAGGAGAGAAACATCAATTCGTTGTTCCCCTTACTTATGTGTTCGAGTTGCTTCTTACATGTGCTCTGACCGGGATCAGAAAAACCTGCAACCTTGGGAACCCCCCCAAGAGTAAGGACCTGTCCGCTGCAAGGGCAAGTCAGGTGGCCACTGCAGCGAAGGAGGAACAGGAAGACAGAGAACCCAAGGTCCTGGTCCCTGCAGCCCCAAGCCCCAAGCAAGCTGCAAAGCAGATGGAAGGTGCAGGCTCCACCTTTCTTTTCAACTCTGGGCAGCGCCTCCCATATGTGGCTTATCAGGGCTGCCTTGTCGCAAAGGCTTCTGTCCCAAGCAACAGGACGGGCATTAGCTAGGACAGGCATTAGTTAAAGGACTTCGTTCTCCTTCCTGTCACATCCTCTTGAAAGCTCAGTCAACAGCCAGCGCAAACAGACGAACCACTGTTCTGGGCTGTGTAACTCCATTCAGAGTTCACGCCCGCGCTCCTGCAGAAGGAAGGAAGCCAGGCCGAGCTTGGCCAGAAACAGGCCCGCAACCTGGAAACCCTTCATCTCTTATCTGTATGTAGCCTCTGTTGCTCAATAGGCTTTAGTGGGAGGAAGTAAACCATCGATTGTGCTTTGGTAACAATCCAAATAAAAGGTCAAAGTCAGGGATGACCCAAACTGTGAGAAACTATCTAGAAATAAACCAGTTACCAATGCGCCAAATAACAGACTAGGAACAATGAGACATGGTGGGAAAAGATGCCACAGAAATGGTAGCAAATATCCAACAGCCCGATTTACGGCATAATTTATCAGGGATATCCGCACAAATTAACCCCAGGAACTGTTCAGGATTTCAGAGAAGCCTGAAACCACCAACCCTATCACCTGGCAGAACAGCCTTTAATAAACACACGTGGCAGAGTTACATCCAGGAGGCACAAGATGCTCACGGAAGGAAAATATCAAATAAAATGATAACTACACGCCCACTGCACCTTCTCCTGAAAAAATCTCCGCGTTTCACATTTTCCCACTCGGAGGCAAACGAGGAGAAGCCCTTCACTTCAGAGGCCTATCAGTTCACGAAAAGGCACAGCTGGGCCTCACCTGGGGGGCCAGAGGTGCAGGCTTGCTCCCCGCCCAAACAGACAACAGGAAAAAACCCCAGAGCAAAGTGAGGAAGCAAAGGCAGGTGGCTGTGAGAAAAGCCCCTCTC